TGTCTCCGGGCTTTTTCACATCCCCTCCGGACTCCACCAGCTGCAACTGGGATAGGACACCTGAGAATAGAGAAAGGCCATTAATATCGGTATAAAAACAGCGATAACACAAAATTCTTCTAACTCTGCCAGTTCTACAGAGGAGGAAAATACCTTCCAAAGCTGCTACAGCGAAAATTACAAGGAGCAAAAATCCCATTTTCCCTGGTGTTGGCGGGAAAAGTTCTCAGGGGACTGGCTGGTCACTGCACAGACCCAGGGACTGCGGATTGTGTCTCCGGGTGCAGCCTGGGCAGAGAGAGGCACAGATTTAAACAGGAAACTGTCTCCCTCATTTGCATGCCCCCGCTTTATAAGAGACACACACTCCTGCTGCCAGTGATCTGACTGACTCGCCCTAGGGCTCCAGGTACAGGAGTCAGACTGTCCCGTCCTGTGTCTGTGCAGCGCCGGGCACAGGGCGCTGGGTCCTCCTGACACTTTCGGACCCCTGGGAGGAATGACCAGCTCCCTGCAGTGACTGTATTTCCTCACCCAGGAACTGAGGCCCTGGCTATTGTGAGGTGATATTGGGGACTGGGGGGACTCAGCTCTGGAGCCCCGTTCCACGCGCACAGGGGCCATGCAACGCCCGGTCAGGGGGGTCCATGTCTGGCGACGCTTCAGGCAGCACTGAAGGGAGATTGTTATTCACGATGGATATTCATATTCGTGTTCACACTTCTATTCCCATTCCGACTCCACTTCCCATTCATACGGGGATTCTGTAAAATAAAACTGAGCACAAATCAGTGCCTTAGTGTTGGCTGTTGGGGTTGGTTCCTGTCTTTTTTAAATTCGGCCATTTTAAGAGCCAAACACGATGTGAACCCGCTGTTGGTTTCGGTGATGGGCTTTGTCACTGTGGTCTAGTCTGTCACACAGTGATACCGGCTGGTGTTTTCAGCTCTCCTACTGCTCCTTTGTAAATACAGAGGTTGCTGGGATTGTCTCGGGCGACAATGAATCGCATTTCCGCTGAATCGGTGTAATGGGAACAATGTCGTGTGTACTGCGCCCTGGAGACCCACTGCAGACGCTTCCCAGGAGCCTGACGGACCCAGCGCTGAAGTGGAACCCGGAGACTGTAGAAGAGGCGGAGTCAAAGGGCACCTGCAAGTTCCATGTACAAATGAGTCGTTTATGTAGATGCAGAGTTGAAAAAAAAAATGTTTTCCAACCCCCAAAGGCCCTCTTCAGTCTTGTCCCCAAGGCTGTGCTGTTTGTTCATTGCTCCTCCGGTGGGGAATGGAGAAGGGGATTCTGCGCCCCCCCCTTCTCTCACTGACCCCCCTTTTTTCTATTATCGTTTAAAGCAGAAAATAAATATTTTGGGGGTTATTTATTCTTTTAATCCAAGTTTTTTTGCTCCAATGAAAATGCTCCTTGTGCCAGAAAAAGCCAGCTTTAGCTGAAAAATTATTCAACTAACCAGAAAAGCAAACAAACAAAACAAAACAAAACAAAACAAAA